GCAGAATAGGTGTCCCGACGTGAGCTTTCTTGTGGGTAACGCCTTTGGGGACATTTGTTCCGATTATCATTTAAAAAAAAGAAACTTGTTTAAGATGGAATCCTTCACCCGTAATACTGTCTTAACAAGAGAAATTATTCCTGTAAAATTATTTTTGCCCATCGAGCATTTATGCCTTCCATCTTCCCTGGCTATTTAATAACAATATTAATGTCATTTTTTTTAAGCAGCCAGATAGACTTTTCTCTAGAACGAACCTTCTATTTCTAAGGCACGAAATTCGGTATGACTGTTGTTGCCCTGCCCCACTGGCTGTTTGGGTTTTATATTGTGCGTGGGAGAAGCTTGACTGGGTCCAAATCAAAGTCCTTTGATTTTCAGTGAAGTTAATTGTTGTAGGGCTCAGCCTGGCTACAACTTGGTTGTCTTCTCCTACTTGCCCTGGCCTTTGCATTACTCAGGGAAGGAAGATAGTATCCAGACCGCAAGGCCAAGACTGGCATTAGGAAACGGTAGTTGTCCAGTTGTTGCCTGGAGCACAAAGCCAACTGTCCCTCACCGTTAGCCTGGAAGTTGATCTCCAGCTACCTCTGAAGTGGGATCACTGTTCTTGTTTAACACCTCTTTGCATACCAGTAGCTCTTTGCCTTCTGTTTACCTTTCAAGTGATTGGGTGGATTCCTATTTGATTTAAAGATCTCTTTATTCTTCCTGTGCTTATAAAATCCCCCATGAGAGTATACCAAGAAAATGTCCGATTCCCAAGGAAATCCTTGGTTCCACCAGCAGCCGGGCATTATCGAACTAAGAATAGCAGCTTTCCAGGGGCTCCGGTTGACGTCTTTCCCACCACCTCCTGACCTGAGCTCTTTTTTTTACCAGAAAAGCTGGGAGGAGACTTTCCTTACACAAAGCCTATTTTTTTAAACCTTCCCCCCCTTTTTTCTCTCTCTCTCTCCCCTCCCTCCCCATCACTCAAATAGCTTTGGTCCCCATTGCATAACCTGTCCTGGGTGCCTTGCATTCTTCTTAATCACTTGAGTTTAAATACCTTCGTGTTGTTGTTTTTTAAAATACCTTGGTCTTTTTCGAACCACCTTTCCATTAAATGCAGTACTTTTGGGGTGCTGTGTTTTCTTTTTTTTCTTTTATTGTTGTCCTTTTATTTTTAATTCTTGATCTTTTTATCCGAAAAGTGGGTCAAATTTGGTTTGTCCCTCTCTTCAAGGGGCAGGGCGTAAAGATGGAATGGCATGGCATTTTGCAATGGCTTTAGCAGCTATTTCTTTATTATTATCAGGTTTTTTTACTTGTAGCGAGTCCAAAGGCAAATATCCGTTTTGCCCTTCTGTCTGTCTGTCTGTCTGTCTGTCTGTCTGTCTGTCTGTCTAATCTATCTATCTATCTATCTATCTATCTATCTATCTATCTATCTATCTATCTATCTATCTATCTATCTATCTATCTATCTATCTATCTATCTATCTATCTATCTATCTATCTATCATCCATCCATCTCCCACCTTTCTTATTTTTACAAATAAGGCAGCTAACATATCTAATATTCCTTCCTTCGCCTATTTTCCCCACAACAACAATCCTGTGAGGTGATTTGGATTGAGAGGGAATGACTGGCCCAAAGTCACCCAGTTGGCTTTCCAGCTAAGGTGGAACTAGTACTCACCGTCTCCTGGTGATTGGCCCAAAGTCACCCAGCTGGCTTTCATGGATATGGTGGGAGTAGAGCTTACCATCTCCCAGTTTTTAGCCCGGTGCCTTAACCACTAGATCAGTGGTGGCGAACCTATGGCACGCGTGCCAGAGGCGGCACTCGGAGCCCTCTCTGTGGGCACGCGTGCTGTCGTCCTAGCCCCACCTCCCCCCGTGGCCCCCTCCTCACCAGCAGCCCCCCTGGAGGAGAGTCACCCCCAGGCACGGCCCGTACGGAGCAGCGCAGCCAAGGACATAGCCGGGCAGCAGGGACAAGACTCCGCCCTCGCGCCCCATAGTGTGCAGATGATGCTGCAGGGTGTGGGCGGAGGGCGTGGCTGCCATGGTACTGCAGGGCTGCCTGGGCGATCTGCAGCGGGCCATGGAGGCTGTGTGTGGCCTGCAGGCAGGTGGGGGTGGAGCAGGCAGGGCAGGAGGCCGAGCGGGGGCGGTGGGCAGTTTTGGGGCACTCGGTCTTTAAAAGGTTCGCCAACACTGCACTAGATCAAACTGGCTCTATTTATTTATTTGTTTCATTAGTATCGTTATGCCTAGCCAGTCCTCTCCAAATGGCTTTTAAGCAAGCCAAAAGATTGCAAACAAATATAAGTTATTTTTTAAGGAGAACTTCTTGTTGCAATTGGTGGTGACAACCACATGCAGCCCAGTGAGCAAGGAAGGCTTCTGGGACAGACTGTGCGTGTCTTCCTCCCCATCCAGGGATGCGTCCCTCGGGGCAAGCGGTAATGAACGATGGGCAAAGGATGACTCACAATTTGGATGCCATAGTGATCCCCATCTGCCCTTGATGGCTGCTGTGGGTGGCAGCTGCAGACTGCCTCAGGCCAAGCAAAAAGAAGTGGATTTCACCATTAAGAAAACTGACTCGCATTATTTTGTGATTTAAAAAAAGCTCCCAATTTTCTCTTTCCATAATATATTTGAAAAGCACTAAAATCAAGCAGCGTTCACATTCACGACCACACAATGCAATAGTTCGGCCCGTAGCCCCCGTTCGTCGCGTGAATACTGGAATGGGTTCATTTGCCTGCCCTTCTGTTCAATTTATTTTTCTTCTCCCCACATTCTTCATTCTCTCTCCTTTCTCTTTTCCCCTCCTTCTCTTAACTCCCTTTAGGTTCCTTGTCAGGAGTTCTCAAACAGAATTCTGCAGTTATTCTGGGCTGTGATTGTTTCTGCCTGCATCTTGCTTAGCTTTTTCTGTCCATTTAACTAGCAGTGGTTTAGCAGAAAGAGTGCTAAAAGAAAAAAAAATCCTCTTTTTTAAAATTCATCCATGCCCGTTACCCGTGGGCATGGCATTTTCCCTATGTTTTCCGTGGGGTAGTCCATTGCAAAAATGGACAACAGCGAGCATTGATGCTTTCAGGGAGATTTGATGCCTCCGTAATGATGAGATCTACCAACATTGATCAACAAGCTGCCCGATTAGGACCCTCTTTTTGCAGACGTATTATAGGCAGTCCCCGCTTAACGACTGTTTGAAGTTGCAGCGGTCTTCAAAATAACTACTTACGACTTGTCCTCGAAATTATGTCTGCTGCATCCCACCTCCCATCCCTGTGGTCATGTGATTGCATTTGGGGTACTTGGCAACCGGCTCATATTTACGACCGTCTACAGCAGTGATGGCAAACCTTTTAGAGACCGAGTGCCCAAACTGCAACCCAAAACCCACTTATGCATCGTCGGGTGCCGGGTGGGTGTGGCCCATTGGGTGGGCGTGGCTGCAGTGTTAACGGCAGACTGGGTGGGACTAAAAAGTTCAATCAATCAATTCCAACTTTGCAAGATCTTTTTTTTTTCCTCACGAGAAGTTGAAATTGACTGATTGATTGAACCTTTTTTTTTTTGCACACTGCGGCGGAGGCCTAAAGCGAAAAGGTTTTATAAAACCCAGCTGAAGGCCTAGGACTGGGGCGATGGTGCGTGTGCCCACAGAGAGGGCTCTGAGTGCCACCTGTGGCACGTGTGTCATAGGTTCGCCACTACTGGTCTACAGCATCCTGCAATCATGTGACCATGATTTGTGTCTCCCCCCCCCCATTTTTCTGGCAGAAAACAGCAAAAAAAAAAGTCCATTTACCATGTTTAATTTGCTTAATGCCTATGTTTGATTTGCTTACCAATCAAGTGATTCATCAGGCGACTCCCTTTACGGCCTTCCTGAAAACAGTCTTAAAATTAAGTAGAAGGTCGTAAAATGAATCGCACGGTGAATCACTTGGTGCCTCAACTTATAACGGCAATGACTTTCAACCCAAATTCCAGGCTTCATTGTGGTTGTCAGTTGAGGACTACAGACGGTAAGGACAAATGATAATAGAGGAGGTTATCTCATTTAAATTCTCAAAGATACTTGCCTAGTATCTGCTGGAAGTATCTGCTCTGATGCAACACGGGCTTTCAATTCTGGTAATCTTAAAATAGGTTGGGGAATGCTAACGCCTTCCAGATATGCTGAACAGAATCTCCTAGGCCAGGGGTAGGCAACCTTGGCTCTTTTATGACTTGTGGACTTCAACTCCCAGAATTCCTGAGCCAGCATGGCTCAGCATGGAAACCTCTCCCTTTCCCCTCAGCATGGATGGCTCAGGAATTCTGGGAGTTGAAGTCCACCAGTCATAAAAGAGCCAAGGTTGCCTACTCCTGTCCTAGACAATAAGGACATTGGTATCATCGGACAGAGGAATGTGCTTTAAAATCACATGTCATTGCATTATCCATAATAAGAGTAGGTAGACGGATACCATGTTACTCTTTCTGTTGGCTATATTAAAATTAGAGGAGGATCTTAGCATGAAGGAAGCCGATATTTATAGCTAGCTTTTGCTTTAAGATATAGTATTATATTTTTATCCCACTTTAAAATATGTATTTTGGCCAACTCAAAGCAACGAACGTACCTACTACCCATTCCACCAGTTTTCACTTACAACAATTGAGGATTGTTATGCGGGGGAAAGTAGAAGGATTAGGTGTGTTCACTCTCCAAGGTAATAAAGGTGAGATAAAAATTAAATAATCAATAAGCAACATCCCTGTAAGGCAGGCGGAGGGAGAGGAACTGGTTCAAAGTCACCCAGCTGGCTTTTATGCCTAAGAAGGGACTAGAACTCACCATCTCCTGGCCATTGGCCTAAAGTCCCTTAGCCCGCTTTCATATCTAAGGCAGGACTAAGAATTCACAGGCTCCTGTTTTCTACGCTAATGATTTAAAGTATATCAAGCTGACACTCGTTAATGGCCGCTGCCCTTCCTCCATTCAGGTATACATGTATCAGTTGTTCCGCAGCCTCGCTTACATCCATTCTCAAGGTGTGTGTCATCGAGACATCAAACCTCAGAATCTGTTGGTGGATCCCGATACAGCAGTACTGAAGCTTTGCGACTTCGGCAGGTGAGAGAAGCACACGACATAACCCTCTAACCAGGGGAGTGGGTTTGCCTGTAGACCTTGTGGCACTACAGCCACAGATAGAATTAGAATGGAATAGAGTGGAATGGAGTGGAGTGGAGGAATAGAATAGAATAGAATAGAATAGAATTGAATTGAATTGAATTGAATTGAATAGAATAGAATAGAATAGAATAGAATAGAATTCTTTATTGGCCAAGTGTGATTGGGCACACAAGGAATTTGTCTCTGGTGCATAAGTTGTAAGTGTACATACAAGCAACAAGTGATAAATCATGATCATAATGAATAGAATAGAATAATGGAATGGAGGGATAGAATAGAATAATGGAATGGAGGGATAGAATAGAAAATAGAATAGAATAATGGAATGGAGGAATAGAATAGAAAATAGAATAGAATAGAATAATGGAATGGAGGGATAGAATAGAATAGAAAATAGAATAGAATAGAATAATGGAATGGAGGGATAGAATAGAATAGAATAATGGAATGGAGAGATAGAATAGAATAGAAAATAGAATAGAATAGAATAATGGAATGGAGGGATAGAATAGAATAGAATAATGGAATGGAGGGATAGAATAGAATAATGGAATGGAGGGATAGAATAGAAAATAGAATAGAATAGAATAATGGAATGGAGGGATAAAATAGAATAGAATAGAATAATGGAATGGAGGGATAGAATAGAATAGAAAATAGAATAGAATAGAATAATGGAATGGAGGGATAGAATAGAATAGAATAATGGAATGGAGGGATAGAATAGAATAGAAAATAGAATAGAATAGAATAANAGGATGGAATGGAATTCTTTATTGGCCAAGTGTGGTTGGACACACACAAGGAATTTGTCTGCGGTGCATAAGCTCAAAAAGGCTTTCCTTTCAAGCACAATTATTCTTTCAGAGCTACTGCACATGGTTGCTCAGCGGTCTTGACTGACCCCTTTTTCCCACCCACCCCCAGTGTTCAAAGTGTTGGTCATTCTGTGACCTTGTTTCTGCATAGCTGTTAGGGTTGTTTTTTTGTTTTGCTGGCACGGTTTTATCGGTCATCTTGCAAAGCTTCCCCAGAAGGAATTTATGAGCCACATCCTGTAAATAAATGTTACAGATCTTACACTTTCTCCAAGAGGTTTGAGACAGCAGAGTCGGATTTTTCCCTTTGTTGCTCTTTTCCCTTCCCACAGCCCTGTGAGGAGGTTGTGAGAGAGAGCAACCGGTCATAGGCCACTTGTTTCAGCTTCAAGGTTAACCTGGATTTGGACCCACATCTTCCCGCTGCAAATCTAGGGCTGTAAGCCCTAATTTTAATGAAATGCTAATGAAAAGAAGGACATGGGATGATATGATAGCAGTGTTCCAGTATCTCAGGGGCTGCCCCAAAGAAGAGGGAGTCAAGCTATTCTCCAAAGCACCTGAAGGCAGGACAAGAAGCAATGAGATGGAAACTAATCAAGGAGAGAAGCAACCCAGAACTAAGGAGAAACTTCCTGACAGTTAGAACAATTAACCAATGGAACAACCTGCCTCCAGAAGCGGTGAATGCTCCAACACTGGAAGTTTTTAAGAAGAGACTGGACAGCCACTTGTCTGGAATGGTGTAGGTGGGGTCTTCTGCTCGAGCGGGGGGCTGGACTAGAAGACCTCCAAGGTCCCTTCCAGCTCTGTTACTCTTTTAAATGGGGGAGCAGGTATCCCTTTCTGGGCTGAGATCACTCTGTGGCGTTTGAGTGATGGGCTGAGGGCAAACAGCAGTCCCCAAAACCGAGTGGAGCCAGGACCAAAACCTATCCTTGTATTTCTTTTGTTTTCATAGAATTGTACCGTAGATACATTGTAATTTACATTGGCGTTCTTAAATTGTGTGCTGAATAATTTTCACTTTTTGTTAGATAATAAATAATAAAGCTCACAAATGCTGGAGGTCTTAAGGGTGGTGGGGTCATAGGGAGGCTTGGATTTATGCCTCTCTGCCCTCGTTTCAATAGCACCCCAGTTCTCTCCGGACCCCCATCCACCGTTCCCTCTCTTTTTCAGCGCGAAGCAGCTGGTGCGGGGCGAACCAAACGTTTCCTACATCTGTTCTCGCTATTATCGTGCGCCTGAGCTCATTTTTGGAGCCACCGATTACACTTCAAACATAGGTGAGAATGACCTGGCTGCCCCATTGAGGCATCTTACAGGTTTTTGCCTCTCAGACCAAACGAATTTCCTTCCTATCGATGTGGTTGCTTCCGGAAGCAAACGCCGAGCGTTGGCCTTCTCCCAAAACCTCCAGGTGTGGAGTTACAACTTCCAGAAATGCCTTAGCTGGAGAATCCTGGGAGTTGTAGCCCGCCTGGAAACGGGGTGCATTAGGGTATAGCTCTGTCTGTGCTGCATCATAGGAAGACAGTCCTATATAGGTAGGACCATTCCTTTAGCAACTGTTTCGAAGTTGCGGCGGTGCAGTGTCCCCGCGGCCACCTTGTCAGAATTCGGACATTCCGCAACTGGCGTGTCTTTAAGATAGTTGCAGCCTCCTGGGCCCTCTGATTGCCATCTATGAGCTTCCCAAGGCTTTCCAATAAAGCTGATGGGGGAAACCAAATGCACTTCGCTGCGGGAAAAGTTATAACATTGGGCACGACTCGTTTAACGACCACATCACTTAGCAACGGAAGTTCCGGTCACCATTGTAGTTGTACCTGGAGGACTATTTGTAATTGTCAGGCGAGCATTGGAAGTGGCCATTAGGCCCCTCAGCTCTCCCTCCTCAATCTTTTTAGCAAGCATTTTGATCAAGCAATATTCACATTCACGACCACACAATGCAATAGTTCGGCCCGTAGCCCCCGTTCATCGTGTGAATACTGGAATGGGTGTATTTGCCTGCCCTTCTGTTCAATTTATTTTTCTTCTCCCCACATTCTTCACTCTCTCTCCTTTCTCTTTCCCCCTCATTCTCTTAACTCCCTTTAGGTTCCCCGTCAGGAGTTCTCAAACAGAATTGTGCAGTTATTCTGGGGTGTGATTATTTCTGCCTGCATCTTGCTTAGCTTTTTCTGTCCATTTAACTAGCAGTGGTTTAGCAGAAAGAATGCTAAAAGAAAAAAAAAAACCTTTTCTTTATCTATCCATGCCCGTTACCCGTGGGCATGGCATTTTCCCTATGTTTTCCATGGGGTAGTCTATTGCAAAAATGGACGACAGTGAGCATTGATGCTTTCAGGGAGATTTGATCTACCAACATTGATCAACAAGCTGCCCGATTAGGACCCTCTTTTTGCAGACGTATTATAGGCAGTCCCCGCTTAACGACCGTTTGAAGTTGCAGCGGTCTTCAAAATAACTACTTACGAATAACGACTGTCCTCAAAATTACGTCTGCCTCATCCCACCCCCCACCCCCGTGGTCATGTGATTCCTGTCACTGGCTTAGGACCATATTTTTGTCTTTAATTGACAAGCATTTTCGCTGGCCCTTGTTTTGCCATCTGCTTGGAGCTGCTGAGTTTTGACCCTGAGATCTCTTGTCTGGCCAGAAAACCAGCCAGCTGGGAGGGTGGTTTCAGGAACCAAGTGGAAGCACTGCAAGCTTTTTACAGTAAGCAGTGGGGTATTGCTGCTCTCCTGGGTGGGACTGACGGCGCCCCTTTTCGGCTTCCCTCGTAGATATCTGGTCCGCCGGCTGTGTGCTGGCAGAGCTGCTCTTGGGGCAGCCCATCTTTCCTGGGGACAGCGGAGTGGATCAGCTCGTGGAGATCATCAAGGTAACTTTTATAACAATTTTTTTTATTGGTTTTCCAATTTTACATTTGAGTATTTGGAAAGCAACGTGGTGATTGGGTTAGTCGATAGTTCAGTAACAAAATCTCCATTACTCCATTCTTAAGTGGTGACGTCCTGGGATGAGAAATAGAAAATGTTTATGAAATAAAATAAGGATATATTTAAGTAAGTCATACGTGTATTTTAGATATTATAACTTTTATGTAGTGAGATAAAGGAAATTTGGGTTACCCGAAACTCAAATACTATGGATATTAAAGGTTAAATTGGAGTACTGCAATTAAAAATTAGGTAAAACTTAAAAACAGGATATGGATATCTATAAGCAAAAACATATTGATAAATGTGATAATGAAGTTTCAATTGAGCTTGATATAATTAGAAATGTTAAGGGAAATAGAGAAGAAATGTTTGATTATGTAACCTGAGATAGGTATCAAGGTAACTGTTTAAACCCCCCCCACCTGCCCTTTAGTTCAGTCCTGCAAATACGCTCTAAAGTGGAACTGGAGAGTCAGCCTGATGGGCTGATGAGTGACTGGGCTTTTGTCTTGTTGTCGAAATACAACCCAGACTTGCCGTGCTCTGATTGTTCTCCTTCCCTTCCCTCCTGTAGGTGTTGGGAACACCGACACGAGAACAGATACGAGAGATGAACCCCAACTATACAGAGTTTAAGTTCCCCCAGATCAAAGCACATCCATGGATAAAGGTAAAGAGGGGGGCAGGGAGAGGGTGGAAAAGACGAAATGTGAGGGCTGACTTCATGCTACTGTCCCAGAGAGTTATATTTCTAGAGCAGTGGTGGCGAACCTATGGCACGGGTGCCAGAGGCGGCACTCAGAGCCCTCTCTGTGGGCACGCACGCACGCCGTCGCCCCAGTCCTAGGCCTTCAGCTGGGTTTTATAAAACCTTTTCGCTTTAGGCCTCCGCCGCCATGTGCAAAAAAAAAAAAAAGGTTCAATCAATCAGTCAATTTCAACTTCTCGCAGGGAAAAAAAAGATCTTGCAAAGTTGGAATTGATTGATTGAACTTTTTAGTCCCACCCAGTCTGCTGTTACCACCGCAGCCACGCCCATCCAATAGGCCACACCCACCCGGCACCTGAGATGCATAAGTGGGTTTTGGGTTGCAGTTTGGGCACTCGGTCTCTAAAAGGTTCGTCATCACTGTTCTAGAGTATCTCTGAAAAGGGCACGTTTGCATCGTTGGGTTCTATGCACCTGGCTTTAAAATAAATCTCTGCAACCAGGCCAGCCCAGGAAACCCTGCCAGCTGCCCTTGTGCCAGTTAAATACAGCAAGTACAGTAGTGGCCAAAATTGTGGAAACCTTTTGGGAAAAGTGTACAGTAGAAATGCCACCTTTGGTTAAGTTTCCACCCATTTTTCTTCTAATTTCTTTATAACTGTAGCCTCGTTCACTTAATAATACTATTTTACATCGCTTTCTGGGCAACCAGTCAACTCTTTGCACCATGACTTTAATTTTATTACGTTGTACAAGCTCACTCAATGAAAGAACACAAAAAAACCCCAACCAACTTGATAGCGATCACATAACACACTGACAAATGTCCTCCTCTCAGCTTCAATACATGACATCAATCACTGGATCCTACCGTGATCTGATTGGCTCATTGCCAAAACAAGATGACACCTGATTGGCTCTCTAAACACTCACGCTCATTGGCTACCTACCATCAGATGAAGGAAAGCTACGTGAGATCAACCTAAGCAAGTTGTGCTTCCTTTTTCTGCTTATTTGGCTGTAACTGTTCATAGAATACAGTACAGATAATTGAACAAACTTTGTTGCGTTACGTTCTTGATTAAATTATCTTTCCATTGATATGTAATTTTATGGGACTACTCCCCCCCCCCCAAAAAAAGTGGTGCTATTAGCCATCAAGCTTCAAAAATACACTTTTCCCCAAAGGGTTTCCACAATTTCGGCCACTACTGTACATGCATCACACAGGAATTCTTCAGCTTATGACCACAATGGGGGCCAGGATTTTCACGGCTAAGAAATGCAGCTGTTGTGTGAGCTACCTGATTTTACAGCCTTATTTTGCCATGGTTGGTAAGCGAAGCAATGCAGTCGTTAAGCGAATCCAGCTTTCTCCATTGACTTTGCAGGTGTTTAAGCCTCGCACGCCGCTGGAGGCCATCTCGCTGTGCAGCCGCCTGCTTGAGTACACCCCAGCCACGCGCCTCTCTCCCCTGGAGGCCTGTGCCAACAGTTTCTTTGACGAGCTGCGCGAGCCCAACGCCCGGTTGCCCAATGGCCGTGACTTGCCCCCGCTCTTCAACTTCAGCCCTGTGGGTAAGTGGCTGGGATCTAATTAGTTGGACATACAAAAGTGTTTTTTTTTTAAAAAAAAAAAAATCCAAGGGAAAACAGACACAATGGTCCCCCAAATGCTGGGAAAAAATAATGATGATCAGGGAAACAGTGCTGAACACCCCCCTCTCCCCAAATGCTGAAAAATTCAAGGAAGCACAGATATTTGTTATGGAGAACATTTGTTGTTGTCAGTTGCAAAGTCGTGTCCGACCCATCGCGACCCCATGGACAACATTCCTCCAGGTCTTCCTGTCCTCTGCCATCTTCTGGAGTCCATTTAAGCTCACGCCTCCTGCTTCAGTGACTCCATCCAGCCCCCTCCTTCTCTGTCGTCCCCTTCTTCTCTTGCCCTCCATCTTTCCCAGCATCAGGCTCTTCTCCAGTGAGTCCTTCCTTCTCATTAGGTGGCCAAAGTACTTGAGTTTCAACTTCAGGATCTGGCCTTCTAAAGAGCAGTCAGGATTGATCTCCTCTAGGACTGACCGGTTGGATCGCCTTGCAGTCCAAGGGACTCGCAGGAGTCTTCTCCAGCACCAGAGTTCAAAGGCCTCCATTCTTTGGCGCTCAGCCTTTCTTATGGTCCAACTTATGCCTTGATTGAGCCAGGCATCAAATTAACTGCTGCTGAATGCTGTATTGGGAACTGTCTTCTCTCCCCCCCCCAATGCTTTATTTATTTAATTTATATCCCACTTTTTTGCAAATAACCCAAGGTGGTGAACAATACTTCCTCTTCCTATTTTCCCCACAGCAAAAACCCTCTTAAGGTGAATTGGGCGGAGAAAGAACGATGGCCCCAAAATCACCTAGCCAGTTTTCATGACTAGAACTCCCAGTCTCCCGGTGATTGGCCCAAGGTCAACCAGCTGGCTTTCATGGCTAAGGCAGAACTAGAACTCTTTGTCTCCCACTTTCTAGCCTTAAACATTAGACCAGGGGTAGGCAACCTTGGCTCTTTTATGACTCCTGGACTTCAACTCCCAGAATTCCTGAGCCAGCCATGCTGAGGGGAAAGAAAGAGGTTTCCATGCTGAGCCATGCTGGCTCAGGAATTCTGGGAGTTGAAGTCCACGAGTCATAAAAGAGCCAAGGTTGCCTACCCCTGGGCTAGACCAAACTGACTCTCGGTTATATTGTGAGATCTATCTTTTTGCTAGCCCTTTTCACCACCCCATTCCACCTTCTGCTGCTTCCTATTCCCTGTGTTTGAATGAATAAATGATTGAGAGAGTTAATTTGGTTTGGTTTCCCTCTGTACAAAAGGTCAGGTGAGGTGTCCCAGGAAGGGTTTCCGCCTCCGTGAAGTAGAACCGGCAAGGGAATAAAATGCCAACCCTAGAAATGTAATTGGCTGCAACTTGAAATGCTCTTTTTTTTAACAGTGTAGCTCCTTTCAATTCAGCAAAGTCGATGCTGTCCGTGTAACAGTTTAACAGGAGAAACGTGCCCTAGATGGCTATCACGTGGCCTGCAGCCTTTCACATCAGGCTGGCACCATGCTCCAGATACCATCTTTGAGCGGTTATATCGCAGTGTGAAGGATCTTAAAACAATGTCCTGTTTTGCGTTGTTGCGGAATAATTCATTGGGAACTGAAGCTTTGCAGCGTTGGGAGGTTTATTTATTTATTTATTGAATTTATATACCGCCCTATCTCCCTTACGGGACTCAGGGCGGTGAACAGGCGATAATAAAAAACCACAATAAATATACACAAATTTCTGTCTAAAATCAAATTAAATAACAGGCCTGCTCTAAAAATACCCCATACAAAACCCCCACTAAAACATAATCAAACTACGCCAGGTTAAAAGCTCCTTTAAAAACACCGCTGGCGAAAGAGCTTGAGTTCCCAATGCATTTTTCGTTTGCAAAAGTTGTGTCTTTTTACGCTTTGTATCAAAAAAAATAAAAAAACGTCTGGCGGAGCTCTCAACTTTTGTAGGTTAACAGCTCCTCGGGCGCGTTGAGGAGCCTTGCAGAAACGAACGGATCCTCCCCCAGACGATGAGTTAACGGGGTGCCTCACCCTCTTCTCTTTTTCTTTGCAGAGCTGTCCATCCAGCCCGGGTTGAATTCCAACCTCATTCCACCACACATCCGGTCCCAGGCGAGCGCAGTCGGGTCTGTGTCTGGCTCTGGAACCTCGCACAGTGAGTGCTCTCTCTCATTTGCGGCGCTTGGCTTGAATTTCGAGCAGGAGCTGTAACGCGAGGGGGTTTATTTGTGTACGGCGTACAACAGCAATACAGCACTTGGAGCCCTGGTGGCGCAGTGGTCAGAAGGCAGTATTGCAGGCTAACTCTGCATTCCACTGCCAGGAGTTCGATCCTGACTGGCTCAAGGTGGACTCAGCCTTCCGTCCTTCCAAGGTTGGTAAAATGAGGACCCAGATTATTAGGGCAGTAGGGTGACTCTGTAATCCCCTTAGACAGTGGTTCTCAACCTGTGGGTCGGGACCCCATTTGGGGTCGATCGACCATTTCACGGGGGTCGCCAACCAAGGCTGTCCGCCATTTTTTTTGTCCGCCATTTTTTCCCCCTTTTCCGGCGGGTGCCTTACCTCCCTTGGGCTGGGCCAGCTGGTGGTCAGCCTGCTCCGTCTCTGCCGCTTGCCAGCTACGCCTCGGCCGGCGCAGGGGGCGGAACCACGCATGCGCGGCGCTCCCGGGCAGGGAAAGTCCTCGACTTACGACCGGTTGGGTAGTCCTCGACTTACGACTGGTTTGTCCTCGACTTACGACCGGTTGGGGTCACGGCATTAAAAAGGTTGAGAACCACTGCCCTTAGAGAAGGCTGTAAAGCACTATGAAGCGGTATATAAGTCTTAAGTGCTATTGCTACACTTTCACACTGCTCAACAGTGCTTTATAGCAGTTTCTGGGCGGTTTACAACGTCAGCCTATTGCCCCTAACAATCTGCGTCCTCATTTTACCGACCTTGAACCCCGTCATGCTCGAACTCCTGGATGTGGGCGGTGTTTGCCTGCAGTATTGCAGTTTAACCACTGCACTGCCAAGGCACCTTAACAACAACAAAATGAGACTAACAACTTGGCTTCTTTTGAAAAGGGAGGTCCAACATAGCTTCAGACTGTTTCCTGTCTCTCTCTCTCTCTCTCTCTCTAGGTGAGGGAAGAATGAACACTGACAGGAGCCAGGTCACACCAGGAGACGGTGCAGGACCCATTGCCAATACATCCTGAGGGGTCGCTGGGCCCGGGGGGCAGGACCCCTCCACTACCCCCCTATCCCCAGGCCACCCACATGGACTTCTCTGAACTGTGAATGGTGGGGGGGAAAGCAACTTTGGCCTGGGGACCAGGTGGAGGGGGAGGCCAATTGGGGATAGGTGGCCACTTGGACGGGAGGGGGGAGTCCCTCACAGGTTGTCCTCTAATGCTTTGGCTTGGGAGGGGGGGGGAGAGACAGAAAAATCCCATGGCTTGAGGGCTCCCTTCTCTGTCAAAAGCGGTCCAGGTTGGTGCCTCCGGAGAGGTTGGGGGGGGGGAAGGACCGGAGAGTTGCTGCCATCTTCCTTTCTTCCTCTCCCTTTCCCTCTGGGTAATCCCAAGTCTGTCCTAATTGAGTTTTAATTTGCTCTTGTTTTTAACGTCCCCTGGGGAGGGGAAAAAAATGGTTTTATTCCCAGTCTCATGTCATTCATGCTTTCCGAACCCCACCCCTCTGTAATGTCCCCTTCACACTGTTAATGGTTCCTTCCCCAGATTGCCCTCCCATCATCCCAAGGCCTGTCTGACTATGAAACCCGGATGCTGTATTTTAAAGCAGGTCGGTTTTATAGCCCAATAAAACATTCAGTTTTGTCCCATTCCAGCGGGGAATCGCCCTCCCTCCCCCCTGGCAACACCCCCACCCCCCCCCCACCCCGACCTGGCCCTTTGCTTGCCATGCCTCTACCCGCAATCTCTTAACCGGGAACAAGAAACCCCCTCTCCCCCTTGCCTTGGATTGCGAGGGGGGGGCATGGCCAACCATTCCTCGCTCCCCCCTGCGATCCCATCAGAAGGTAGCACTGGGATTTCTCGCGGCGGGGAAAACCCTGTGAAGTGTGTGCGTTGTGTGTATGTGTGCGCGTGCGTGCGTGCGTGTGTCTGGAACAAGCTGGTATTAGAGCAGGCAGGAAACGAAGCAGAAGCTTGCTCTGGATTCCGTTGCATCCACTCCCTAGCGCAAGTTTTCCTTCCCCGGCGCTGCAGATCCATTTTGTGGACCTCTGGGGGCGTAGGGGGGGGTTCTCAAAAGGGAATTGGAGGAGGCAAGTTTTCATTTAAACGCCTGTTTCCCTTCCTGCTGTAAATACATATTTTCCTCATCTAAAACCCCTTAAAATGGCTTCCTTTTTCCATTTTCCCTGTAAATAGATTAATTTTTTTCTTAATGAAACGTTGCAATGATTGACCCCCCCGTCCCCCGCCCCCCAAATCCCGTTTCCTTCCATTTTCAAATCATCTAGGATTGACGGTTCCCCCTAAGGAGCCAGAGTGCAGCCTGTGGATAATTTCCCTCACCCTATTTATCCTCATCACTGCCTCCCTCCCTTCCTTCTTTCCTTCCAACATTGTGTGTTAGTTTCTTTCTTAGGTTTTTTTTGGCTGTGTACAGACATCCGGTTCAATAAATTATTGGCATGAACGGAAGGACTGGCATGAAGCTCCTTATTAATGGGGAGAGAATCGAAGGAGATAAAACAATAATCATAGCAAGGAGGCCCCAGAAAATGTAAAGGAAAATCACTGTCGAGGCGTCTGTTGCCAAATACAGGTAGTCCTCGAATTACAGTGTTCACTTAGTGACTGTTAAGACGTTTCAGGGGCACTGAAAAAAAACAAAAACGACTTATGACCATTTTAGCATGTGATTTACATTTGGATGCTTGATAACCGACTCACGCTTACGACAGTTGCAGCGTCCCAGGGTCACGTGATCCCCTTTTGCGACCTTCTGACAAGCAAAGTCAACGGGGAAGCCAAGATACACTTAACGACTGTAGTGGTTCACTTTAACAAATGTGGCGAGAAATGTCATAAAAGGGGGCAAAACCCACTTAACAAATTTCTCACTTTATCAACATAAATGTTGGGCTCAATTGTGGTCCTAGGTTGAGGACTACCTGTACTGATCTCGGCGAGGGTGGAATCGGTTCAGTTGTGTACCATCCTAGTTTCATTGTGTACATGTGAATGTGCAGGGGTTTTGGGTTCGTTAACGTTCCTTCATGTTGGGATCAAGGTTTTTGCTGCCCCAGGCATTGGGGGTTGACTCTTTGGGGGCACATAGTGCGAATTAGAGCTATGTTATCTACCTTAGGCTCCAGCCACTTTCTCCGGCTGCTTGAAATGCCATAAATTCTCCTATACAGAATTCAAGTTCATAAAAAAGTGCTTAGATTGGATGACCCAGCTCTACTTGGTTCAGCGTGTCTGAGTGGAGACATCAGTCTTAGCCGTGTCAGCTCTCAAGCTTGCTACTGAACTGCACACGATTAAAAAATAACCTTTAGCATTAGCTGAGAATTTGCCAACTGGACTGTAGCTAGGTGTGTGCAATTAATATATCCGTTATGGCCCCAACCAGGTGGCATGATTGCTTGGTTAGTTGTTGCAGTGGGATCGTTCCACTGAATGACGTTAGCTTTATCCCTGCAGTTTCCATCTGCTTCGGTAGTTAAAACTCTTTTTTGAGTTTTATATTCTAAAAAGAATTTATATCCTTCCATGTAACTAACATGCCTGTTTGCTAACAATTCCAGATTCTGCAAATGGCTCAAGTGCTTTTAGTGAAGCCAGCCGGCCTAGTTAAAGTTTAGTATGCTGGATGAACTCAAGATTGGGTTACATCGGTCGTGTTAGTCTGTTGTTCAAATGCTGCAAATACAACATTGTAAAACGAACTACCCAAGGAGATGCTCACTGCCATTGAAATCCTTATTTCCTTTTCCCGTCACGCTAAAATGTTTGGGACTGGAAAGTCATCATAAAAATTCTTGAGTTTTAAAACGTGCACGTTCGTCAGTCGTCGTACGCCAATCACCCAAAAATGGAATTGGCCTTCAACTAGGAGTTACATATTAAAGCAGAAATCCTGTACTTTTACTTGTTGCTCAGACGGGAGAGTTTTAATAACGCGGCTTGTTCTGCTAGGACTGCAGGCATAATAAAAATTGTGTCAAACTATCAAAGCACAAAAGTATCCCCTTTCTTTTGCCTTAAGGTGTAACAATATTATTCTATTACAAAGTTACAACTTTGACACAATAGCGGGTAATTTTTTTCCCTAAGAGCAAGGAGATAATTGTCAAACTATAGGACAGACTGTCCAGGATACTGTATCAAGCCATTCCTTAGAATCTCAGATAATGAAACGGGGAGACCTTATGGAATATAACACATCTCTTTTAATTTACAATAAACACCTGGTTGTGGTCAAGATGAGTGGCCCAACTGCAACCCCCAGCCCACCCACCCCCAAGACAAAAAAAAAAAGAACTGCCCAGAGGAAATGGCAAAACGAGGTCCATAAATTGCAGCTTAGGGCCTCCACACGAAACTAAACAGGCTGAGGAGGAAATTTTGGTGCTTGGAGGAGCCTGCTGAAGGATGCATGGAGCTCTGCTTCCTGCTGACATGTTCGGCCTTTGTGCACAGAACAGTGAAAGATGATTAAAACCTCTGCACCACGGCAAAAACGTCCCTTGCAGTTCTAAATATGGGAAAAGATGTGAAATCCCTCCCTCCCTCCCTCGCACGGCTTCTGTATTTCTGGGAAATTCACATCTCTAGATAGATCTCTATGGTCTCCATCATGGGGAGCGGCTCTGCACTCTCAATTATCGCGATGGTCTCCCCAAACTTGGTGCACATGATTGTTTGGGCGGGCTGGCTGGAAGCCACAAGGGATTCAGGAGACTGCAGCGCATCTTGGCCGGCAGCCAGCGCCGTGTGCGTCTTGCGGTGGCTCCGCAAGTTAGAGACGGTCTTGAAAGTCTTAGAGCAGAGGGGACAAGGGTGCGGGCGCTCCCCGGTGTGGATCCGTCTGTGCTCGGCCAGGTGCATGGACTGCACAAAGGCCTTGCCACATTCTGGACAGCGGTAGGGCCGCTCCCCGGTGTGCAGGCGTCTGTGTTCACGGAGGTGGGTGGCCTGCCGGAAAGCTTTGCCGCAATCTGGGCAGAGGAACGGGCGCTCGCCGGTGTGTGTGCGCTGGTGCAGCTGCAGCCCGGAGGCTGCCACAAACGTCTTGCTGCAGGTAGGGCACTTGTGAGGGCGCAGGCCGGCGTGGCGCTGTTGATGTCGGCTCAGCCCGCTAGGGGTGGTGAAGGCTTTCCCGCAGAGCGGGCAGTTGTACGGACGCTGCCCCGAATGAACCAACTGGTGTAAGGTCAGCTTGGCCAACGATCCCATGTACTTGCCACACGACGTGCAGAGGTGCGACTGCTGGGGGCTCCCCTGCTCGCGCGGCCTGGCACAGCGGTGCTCCTGCAGCTTGGAGGCCACCACAAAAAGAGCACCGCAGTCTGGGCAGCTGTGAGGTTCGTGCCCCGAGTGGCTAAGCCGGTGCAGTTCAAGGAGACGATGGCGTGAAAAGGATTTGTCACAGTCCGGACAAGGGAAAGGCAGGCACCCTTTGTGTACCATTCGATGCAAGGCTAATTGACGGGCTCGGAGAAAGGCGGCCCCACAGTCGTCGCACGAGTGGGACCCGTCTCCATTAGGAGCCATGTGCAAAAGGCGGTGCTGGCGAAGGTTAGAGGACTGAGTGAAGCGCTTGTTGCAGACCTGGCACTGGTAAGGCCTTTCTCCCGTGTGGGTTACGTGGTGCCGGGCCAAGTTAGCCTGGGAAACAAATGTCTTGCCGCATTCGGAACACTGAAAGGGCCTCTCCCCCGTGTGCGTCCGCAGGTGATTGCGCACGTGCACCAGCTTCTTGAACTTTTTGCCACACGTGGGACATTTGTGCTTCCGCTCCAGCACGTGCACGACTCGCTTGTGCCGTACCATCCGGATATGGGTGGAGAACGCCTTTCCACACTGAGGGCACAGGAACCCACCGCTGGAGACCTCAGCCGAATTCCCTGGTGAAAGCGAGGAAGGGGCTGAGCCATTCACAAGGGCTTCCCCCTCACTGGGCATCTGCTCAGAAGGCTGACTGGAGGCAGGGTCTCCTCCAGCCCCCCGTGTGGCCG